AAATGAAATGTTGAGACACCTGACATTAAACAAAATTAGAAGCATTATAGGAAGTAAGGCATTAAATACTTTGAAAACCAGTTATTTAAAAAAAAAAGGTTAAAGTTACTGTTCCTAACCTGTTATTTTTAAAAAATGTTAATGGTTAAGGTTCCTAACCTGTTATTTTAAAAAATATTAACGGTTACAGATACTAAACTGTTATTTAAAAAAAAATTAATGGTTACAGTTCCTATCAAAAAACTGAAACAAGAGTCAGTGTCAAAAAAGTTTAAAATTCTGAATCTTGGAAAACACAAAGTTAAAATTTATATAATAATTCTAAGAAGCAACATATGATAAATTATCAACTAAGGCTTATTTGGAAAAATTAAAATGATGATAATAAAGTAAAAACTGAACTATATTTTAATATAGGTTGATATAAACCTATTATGATCACTAAAATGTGATATCTATACTTGATGTAACTTCAAGTTAGTTCTGATCAAAGTTCTATGGATTACTTCATTATAAAACTTGCTTGTTTGAATATCATGGAAGAAAATATCATCAACCGATAAAGATTTGTTTATGTTCTATACACATTTTTGGAATACACAAATTTTTTTCCAAAATTGTAGAATTTCCATAAACACTTTGTTTTCCTATGCCCTATGAAAGCTAAGATTTCAGCCACAGCCTATTTATACATACAGGGTGTATGTTTTTATATGATTTTATACAATATAAAGTGCAAGGTAAAAGAAAATTTGTTTTTTTTTACCTTAATGAAGTTATTGAAAATCAAAAATTTTCATGCTATATTGATGTCCTAATTTTGATATTGTTTACTGAAAACTGATTAGTACATTTATATTTGTAATTTAACCATACAATTAAGAGGTTGACATGACTAAGTAGGTAAAGAACACTGCTTTGTGAGCAATTGCCACACGATTAGAGTTGTGGGTTTGAGAAACACTAGCGCTGCCTTATAAGTTATGAACACAGCATAACGAAAGAAAAAGAGAGCGAGTGAAAGAAAGAAGAGGTAAATTTACACTATGTAACAATAAAGTGGCCTGAGAGTTTGCAATGGATGCTACTGGCCAGTTGCTTTCCTTCTGGTCAGCTTTTCAAAATTAGGGAAAGTAGGAGATATCTTAAAAGCTTTGACTTCACTCAAAAAAGAACAAAGAAATATAGTGTCCTATAGCTGAAAGGCCAATTATGCTTGGTGGCAATTAGAATTTAACAAAGGCTCTCGAATCACAAAGCAACCCCTATAACCATGGAGCCATGACAGTTCAAAGCTGAACAAACTTTAATTAATCAAAAAAATAATAATTAGAATTTGATAAATCATAATAATAATTTTTCAATTATTTGGGTAACTGGAATAATCAAAAACAGTAACAACTGGATGATTTAATTTTGATTAGTTCATTATTTTTGTGCATCATAACTGAAACTAATTCTTAATTTTTACTAAGTTTATCTTCAGGAAATTTAGCCATTTTTTTAATACACATTACAAATCTGTTGTACAGATAAATCACATTTTTTAATAAAGTATTTCTTGATTGTGAATTTTCAAAGCCTTCGAAAAATGAAGTGTAGTTTTCATGTTGACTTCTTTTGATCTTAGTTTTCTTAATATTCTAACATTAACTGTAGTTAAATTATCAATGTACAGTAAAATGAAAATATGAAATAAAATCAATATTTTTTTTTAATAATGACTGCAGATTGTAACACACACAATTACATATAGTTATTTTACCAGCCTGAAATTCTAACCATTTCACATCTACATTCTTTTAATTCTATGCATTATTACTGAACTGGACTCTCACTCTACATGAAAAGCAAGAAATCACTGCAAGATGTTTCTTGTACAGGTTTGAATAAACAATCAAGTTATATACAAAGAATGAAGGCATCACAAAGTGGAACACTGACTGATCTCAGGAAAGTTTAAATTTTTCATTTAAGTTTTGTTACCTAACCTAAGAAGTCTTTAATTATTACATTCTACTTACTTTTGTTAAAAATATATAACAATAAAGTAAAAATATAAAAATAAACATACAAAAACAATAAAATGAACATTTTGGAACACAAAAAAATCATCAGACACTAGAACAGAATGTCCTAAAATTACAAAAATTTATCTGGTTTTTTAGATCTAATAAAGTTATAAATAGATTAAAAAATTCCATTACTAGTTGGAACAATGACTTTACCTAACATATGCCAACCTTTTCTTGCCAATTACCATCAATGACCCAAAAAAAACTAAACAAATTATCTTATGACACCTCTGCACTAAAATATGTTCTTTCTATCATATATAACGTGTCCATAATACATATTAGCATGAATGAATAACTGGCTTGAAAAGATATTTCAGTAAATCAAGAAAGCAAGAGGTTCAAATTTTATGCTATTTCCTGTAAATATATGCATTTTGTGCTTCTGATTGGTTATACACTATAAAAGTTGTATTATTGAAGTTAAATGGGAGAGATGAGAGCAAAAGAAAGAAGAATAATGATTGAGCATTTTTTTAAATTTTAAACTTGGATAATATTAGATAATACTGAGCTACGTTTTAGTGCTATGTAAAGTGATAGTTTTTAAACTAAATTTTGAATTTAACTCTGTAAATAAAATCATGATGTGCACTTTGACCTACCCATAAGTATAAGTTGAAACTACAGAAAATGACCTATGAAGGTCGAAATGTTCTTATACTTTATTCTAATTAAAGTTTTTAATACCCATACCAGCTGTCTCTGCAATACATTTTTACTTCAAGCGTGTTTCTTGTCATCAGGATACTAAAGTTATTTATTAAATTTTGGATACAACAATTTGCTCCAGTTTTGTGGAGAAAATTAAACCGTACAAATGTGAACTTAAAAAAAAAA